CATGTGGAGTTGGTGACACAAAGGGAAGTCCTTTCATTTAGTTGTCAACTATGCTGCTCTGGTTTTTTTAATTCAGAGAGGCAATATTTTGAGCATCTTGGCGGCCACCTAAGAAGGTTTGAAGTAGTTGCATGTGTCTTCAAAAACTGCAACTTTAGTACCAACATTTATTCCACCTTTGCTACTCATAGACACAGGAAACACACTTCACATTCACTTGAAGACTTTAAAACTGAAGTCTTAAGAAAACACCCTGAGCCCAGTGTTGCTCAGGATGAGACCTATGTGGATGATGACCCTGAGCCTTTGGATGAGGAACCACAGGAATTGTCTCAAGACATAAAAGACAGTTTTTGAATTTGTTTTTGTTGAATCAAAAACCCACGGCAAATCTCACATTTTTCCTCTACACTGAATCCAGTATACTTACCTGTTTTATGTCCTACTTGGAGCAAAGCACAAACTAGGGCCGCCTCTCTATGTATTAGCACAACTTTGGGTCACAGAGATAACAACCTCTGTGAAACATAATTTACTTGTGTTGTTTGAAAAACCCAAAAGGATATTTAAAAACACTTACTGTTAGTCTGACAGTGTTTTCATAGTCCTCAAGACTACCCTAAAAATACCTGACTGAAAAAATATTGTCTGGTGAGATCTGAGCACTGATTCACATGTTTTTGACAGGATGTCAGCAAAGAAACCATCAGAGATGACCATGCTCATCACGTCTTGAAGATCGTTGTCGTCCATGGAAATACTGCACAGGAAGACCACAGCCCTGACCATGTGTCGATCATCATCGAGGGAAAAGAGGTTCTTGATGATTGGAAAAGTGTGGCAAAGGCTTGCCTGCTGCTGGTGAGCTTTATCTATGCAATGAACCTGAGTTACCCACCAAAGTTGAAATACACATTGTACAAATGTGTAATACACAAGTGTTTCAGAAGCTCTTTCTTGAGCTTGACATCCTGAAGATGTCTCCCAAAGTCCGGGCTTTGCACAACAAACTCATATCATGAGATGACTGTTTTCAAGTTTCTGAACCAACTGCATTGTTTAACTTGTGGTTCAGAGGAAATACTTGGTGGCTAGTAAGAAAAACTAGTTAAAGAAATGTCCTGTTCTAAATGTTGAGCCTGAGCCCAGTTTGTGTATTCTGTTATGCTAACTGGCATATAGAATTGTATTGCAGGTAGAACACATTGTGAATGGTTACATACAATTGTTGGAGTTACCTTTTAAAGAAAGTAACATATTTCTGACTGCACTTTCATGTTTCTTGCAGTTTTTGCACTTTATGGTACTTGCCGTTATTGCACTTACTTGCAGTTTTTGCACTTTATGGTACTTGCTGTTGTTTCACTTTAAAGTGATACCTTTAGGCATTTCATTGGACATTTTCTTTGTAAATGTTCTTGTCGAGGCTCTCTGACATACAAAGCATCAGAGGTCAAATGTCCCATTTAAAAATGTGTCAGAGCACACAATAAACAGCCACACACTGATGGCTTTTAGTGAAAGTTGTTCTTAAATTCTAACTGGCAACACTGTTTTGAAATGTATCTGGTAATGCCAGCGCCAGAGTCAGTATGTTGGAATACTGTAAGCAGTGACCTCTTTCACCAGTGTTGGAAAATAAAGGTACTGTTAAAAAGGTTATTTCATATTATGTGTTTCTTATTAGAATTTCCAGAGTAAAAATTACAAAGATTTTTCTGTGTGGAAATTGTTACCGAGTCTCTTTCAAGTAAATGTTACTGAAATAATGCTAAATTAAGAACTAGGTCCAGCCATTTAAAAGCTTAGGAAAAAGCAAGTATTTTTTACAGAAATTTGTAAGTAAATGCAGTGGTAGTCTGAGTAAATTTTACAGAAGGGGAAATTTACTCATGAAAACAGAAATTTGCTAGTAAACTTTACAAGTGTTTCTTGGTTGAACTTAATACTTATTGGTATGTAGACTTTACTTGAGAATATCCTAAGTTAAATTTACTAGGAATTTGTGTGTGGAAATTGTTACCGAGGTTTTTTTAAGTAAATCACACTCCACGTTTTTTTCAGTGCAGTTCTTCTGTGGATATTGGCTGTCTCAGTGTGTTCTGTCTCTTCATGTAATCAAAGACTGACTCCATGATGTTGAGATGAGGGCTAAGCAGGGGCCATGTCATAGGCTGCAGGACTCTTTGTTTTTTGTCTGTGAAGATAGTTCTATAGATAGATAGATAGATAGATAGATACTCTATTTATCCCCTAGGGGAAATTTATGACTTTGGTCATGTTTGGGATTGTTGTCCTGCTGCAGAATGAATTAGTAAACGATCAAGTGCCTTAAACCTTTGCACAATACTCTATACTTTCACTTCAGTACACCACAAGCCTCCTCTAGCAGTTATGAACTTGGATCTACTCTGTCTTTCATTCTTGACGATCCTCAGGCAAGTTCTGAAGCGTTCTGTCCTATTGGTCCACAGTATCTCATAATTATGAGATACGGAAGTCATACTCAAGAGATAAATATTTCATTTTATTTATTTATTTGTGAATGCAATGCGCTTTCATAGGACAAAGCTGCTCTAACTTGTGCACCATACTCACTGTTCACTCACTGTGCTACCTGTTGTTGCCATAGTAATGAATGGATGCACCACCTGGTGGCCAAAGACTTGTAATTGCCGTTGGCTGCACTATGGGCATCTTAAATACAACAGTGACTGACAGGTAGTTATTTCGCCTGTTTTACTCAAACTGGACTCTTATTTTTGTGCAGCGTGCATGAATAGATCCCGAACATCATATCAACCTTTAGTTAGCTCCGGTGCTACTAAAGTTATGCCACTATGCTAAAGCAACTTAGCAGCAACTGCCTCTCTACCTGTTAACTGTCACAAAATGTCAATTTAGTCTCATACCTGAGCAGAAACTGGCTACGCTTTTGCTGATAGTCTTGGAAAACGACTTCTTGTGAAACCTGGAGTAAAAGTTACATAAATTTTCGTGTTTACAACTGTTAAATTTACACAATTAAATTAGCACATTAGCTCCCGCACACGCATGATGCAAAACAAACTACCGTTACTGTTACTTCAGTTATACAATGTTGTGTTTTTGTGGCTAAAGATAAGTGATATCACTGACCTCTTACGGCTTGTCCGAAGGAAGCTACTCTAGAAAATAGGTGAGGTCTTGAACTTCATTTCCTTCTTAACATGAGCCTTTTGCAGGTATGATAAAAATTGTTTGATAAAAATTCATGTATACACTTTTTTTTGTCACATTTCTCAACTTTCACACGTGTTTTCACCAGCAGATTTTCTAAGATTTTATTTTCTTTCATTATTAATTCGACTGAAAAGCATAACTCATAAAACTTACAAAACAGCATGTGGCAGATCAAGCAATTTTCTATGTCTAATTTTAGGCTGGCACAGAGTGAGAGTAAATTTGGCATAACAAAAACAAAACAAAACATCTACTTGTCCTGAATATAATATAATATAATATATTTTAATAATTTTAAATTCCTAATCCAAAAATAGCTTGTTTGAATGTACCGGAATGAAAGGGGGATGTTGTTTAAAAATTTAAAATGTGAATTTATAATAATAATAAAATAAAAATTTCATTGCACACAACCAGGGAAGAAGCTGCTGACAAGGTGTTGGATGTGGATCCAGGAGAACCAGGAACTGGGGAACCAGCTTTTAGGGACACATCACCCAAATGGAGGCTGAATAAGCCCTGCAGATAAAGACACTCGGATGAGCTCAAGAACCACCAGGATGGTAAGAGATGAGCTTGCTCTGATATAGTTAACACACTCTGGCCTTGTTCTGTGTATTTCCTTGCAGCAGTTTCTAGTAAATAACCTACCTGTACTTGGCTAACATTTATTCTAATTAACATGTGTGATAATTTTCTGCCTGTCAACTAATCAATTCATCAGTGTCTGAAAGTTTCCAAATGATGCTGCTATTTTGTTTCTAAACTTGTTAAGATTGTTATCTTATGAATATAATTGGGCTTAGTTTAGTACATAAAATAAAACTTATGTTCATGACTAAACCTCAAGATTTTATAATTTTAAATTTACCATACTGGCCATATTGGCCATTTTAGTCAAAATAGGGTACTGGGACAACTGAGTGTGATGTCAGATCAGTCAAAGTTAATAAGTGCATGTAGGAAGTAGAAGCAGATCATTATTATTTTTGAATGACCTTATTTTGGTAAGGCTTTTATACATTTGGCCCAAGTAGATTTAGGTGAATGTGGCTGAAGTCATTAAGGGGCAAGGCTGACTTCACCTTGTCCTCTAGATAGAAAGACCTCCATCTAGTGGTCAGACCATTTCATTCAAAGGAAGAATCATGGGGGTGAAAAAATCATTTTTTTTTACCACAGCTTTTGAAAGCACCAATTACATCAGAGCAAGTTAATGTCCAGGCAATGCATGTCACTGAATATTACACCACCGTTGTCATGGTAATTATTCATGAGGACAGGCTTTCAGCTTTGCCTCCATTTTTTTTTTTTCTGTCTCCAGGAAACGCTGCATCCCTTCGGCCACTTCCATCTAGGAAGCAGGCAGTGTGGTGGGGGAGTTAAAGTGACACAGCTATATTATGTGAAAGTAAAGCGGAGCAGCTCACAAGGGTGAGATCTTTAAAGGGGGAGTCGCCTTTTTATAGACGAGACTCATTGAGGATCAGATTCTCTCCAGACCTCCATAACCTTAAAGGAGACTGAAGTAAATTTCCTTTGTGGATAGCATTGCCTTAAATTATCTCCAGCCCACTGGACAAGGGAATAACTGGATGCTTCTTGCTTTTAACTCGCTTGGTTCTGAAGGCACAGATGGACAAGCAGCTGATGCAGGAGGCAGTCCCCTGCACAGCTCTCTAACAGTTAGAACCCGAAGGCATCTTGAAATAGAAATTCAAAAGGGGAGGAGGAGAAGGAGGGGAGAAAGGAGGGGGGTTTTGAGTGTGAGCATTGGTATGCCAGGCTCAATACCTACGATGGCTGTGCAGAAGAAACAGAGTGTCATCCCTCCATCGCAGGGACCACTTTCTTCACGTACAATCGACAGTCAAAGGAAGAGGAATGGATCTGAAAGAGCATCAGGTTAGTAGCAATTTGCTTTTGTTGCAAAGGGTTTTGAATAGTAGCTGATCTTAACAAGCCTTTCCTTGAGGCAAAGCCAGGATGACTATAGATCACAAACACAGGATCATCTGATCATACTGATGACGCATGAGCAGAATATACAGATTATATATTCCCTCTGTTAAATCAGTTTGTAATTGAGCATGGCCACCATAAACCTGAGAAAACTAGGGGGCATCTGTGGACACAGATTACATAATATACATAGAATAATCAGCATCCTGACATTGTTAACCCTAAAGGAATACATTCACATTCATGTGATTTTTACCCCCCCTTGTGCATTTAAACTGATTACTCTTCAGTCTTGTGTCTAGGACTTGACTTTTTTTGTTGTTGTTTATAATGGCTCTTTCATCTGTAGCTGACCCTAAGGCCATAACGACCACCGTTTGGGAAAGAGTCTTCATGATGATTGGTTTTTGTTTACACATAACAGCTGCTTCATATCATTTGTTGTACTAAAATATACATTTAGGGTTTGGATTCCAAAAAATATTGAGTGTCAGATAATGAAAAATATTTATTTTTTCACTGAATAACATGCATGATTTTTCTCCTCACTTCCAGAGAATGGCTCTTGTATCAAACCAAATACGCAGGCCAAGAAAGCAGCCTGTCCTGTTCACAAGCCTGCCCAAATCTCCAACTCAGTTTCTCCAAGGGCCACTGCAGGTTTGACACAGCCGGGGTCACACTCACTCTTTAAATCAGCCAAATGCAATGTTATTAGGATACCAGATCATGTCTTAAAGCACAGAGTCCTTTTACACACTGCCTTAATGTAATGTTTGTCATCAAACCAGTGACTGCAAAGTGTTATCTTGGCATTCTAGTGGCTAATGGACAAAATATTGACGAGAGGCTGAAAGCAGCACGAGAGAGACGAGAAGAGCAAGAGAAGTTACTTGGTATGTGAGCTGCTATGGTGGTACAATTCATACGGCTCTGTCCTCAATTTCTAAAAAAGATGAACATAAATCTATTTATACTGGTTCACTTTTCTTTTTTTTTTCTTCTCCCCAGCCTCTCGGGAGCTGAGCAGGTTGGAGCGGGAGCAACGGGCCAGGCTCTACTATGAACAACAGCTGCAGGAGCGCAAGAAGAAACTCCTGGAGCAGCGGTACAAAGAGGAGACGAGGCGTGCTGCTGTGGAGGAGAAGCGCAAGCAGAGACTGAAGGAGGAGAAAGTGAGTTTGATGGTGGAAATAAGAAACTTTTTAAAAAAAATTTTTATTTATTATTCATTTCACAGCCCTGAATTGAGTAACAACGACACTTGCGCTTGTTTTCCTGAATTAAGGAGCGGCATGAATCTGCTGTGCGCAAAACAATAGAGAAGAGCCAAAGGGCCCAACAGAATCTCAGTCAAAACTCAAGAGGAAGGAAAGCCACCAAGAATAGTAAGTAGAGATGAATATGCTTTCTTTTTTTTCTGCTGCTTTTAACATAATCTTTCTAAACTCATAACACCATACTTCACAGTATCTATACTGTATCTTAACACAACGATTCTTGGCGTGCCTTATCTTTTGTTTTTGCTGCACTTAAAACTTTATACTGATCAATATGGTAGCTCCACGTCGCTTACCACTGACACCATGGGAGAAGAACTTGGTCAGTCGCCTCCTTACCCCCACTTGCTCTTATCTGGCCAGGAGCAAGAGCGCTGGCTGCGAGTCAGGAGAAGAAGGTACTCCTCCCCTCCCCCCTGAAAACAGAATGCACTCTTTTGCTTTAGTATTATGGCAAAGCGATGCTACTGGTTCGTAGTGTGACACTACAACTGCAACTATACCCTTTGGTTACTAACGCTGCTCATTTTCCTCTCTGTTGACGCACTGCTCCACACTTCCATCCTTTTCACTGTTCCCACACATCTGTGCATATTTCTCCAATTTCCCATAATTATGGCACGAAACACTGGCTCAGTTGTCCATGTTTGTCGCCGTGCAGTTTCATTCCACTCCATGAATACCACCAACACCACCACCACCACTACCACCACCACCACCCCTCTCAAACCCCAGCAGCACTCTGGTTTGGTCCAACAGAGGCCATATGCCTCCCCCAGTCCCAACAACAGAAGCATCAATCTGGCGCAGGTAAATCTAAAGCCGTTCCTTTGGCTGCTAAATAATATATGATTTTATTATTTTTAGAATCACCCAGCTGCCAGTATTTTCAGTCTTTACTATGATTCTAATATCCCTTTTCTCTTCATTCTCTTTGCTTTAGATCAAAGTAACAAAACAGCAAGATGCCAATAAGAAGAAGTCAAACAGGGGCTCAAATATCAGATCACCTGGCGTCAAAACCAGCATGAAACCAGCCACAGTCACAAAAAGCAGAACACCCTCCCCCTCACCAGAACGGTAGGTAAAAATAAGTGTGCACCTGTACCCCCGCTACCACATTCACGACACGGTCATGATAATGTGAACAAAGCGGGACATCTGCTCTCTTCTGCTGGATTTTAAAGGAGTTCCCGCAGATCAATTAGCAGACATTCAACCCCGCTGCAGCTCGAGCTCCCGTCGGTCCCTGAGGAAGATGTTGCTGTTTGTAGTTCTGCCCTCGCTCCTGGTAACTCACGGCCTGTCAGGACATCAGCTGGAGGTCAGAAAGAGAAAATGAGGGCTGGAAATGCACCAGAGACTCCGTGCTTGAACCTGCCAGAGACACAAATGGAGGCTATAACCAGAGCAACGAGAGATGAAAGTAAGCTACGGAAAAATGCTTGAAACAAAAAGTGAAGTATTTAAAGTGATTCAGATACACTGTATGTTGATGTTGACATTATTGCACATCAGGTCCTTCCCAGATGCCTCCTCATCCAGCTCCAAAGCCTCCTGAAGTTGTGAGCAGGCCCTCGGCTGGTACTACAGACCGAGAGGAGGCCTCTCGTCTCCTGGCTGAAAAGAGGAGAGAGGCCCGACTACAACGGGAGAGAGAGGAGCAGGAGCGTCTGCAGAGAGAGGAGGCAGAAAGGTAAAAAACATGTCCACTTATGAGACGGAAGCACTGCAGTAGCAGGCCACTGATACTGTTTGCAAATTTATGTCCAGGCGGAGTCGTGAAGAACTGGAGCGCAGGAGGGCAGAGGAGCGAGCGCGACAGCAGGCCGAGGCTCAGCATCTCATAGAGGAGAAGAGGAGACGGGAGGAAGAGGAGCAGAGACAAGCTGAGGAAGAGAGAGCTCAGGCCATGAGGGAAGCCGCCCTTCTGCAGAAACAGGTCAGTGCAAACATTTGCTCTGCCAACACAGAGCAAGGTTAAATTGCACAGCTCTATTCTAATGGATGGCTTTTGCTTTTTTCTTTTATTCTTAGTTACTTTTTATTGAAAGATACATTCTCTGTTTTTGTGCTGATTCTCACAACATGTATCTGCTCTGTGTTTTTATTCAGAGAGAAGAGGAGCAAGCCAAAGAAAGGGCGAAAGCCGAGCAGATCAAACAAGAGCGAGAAATTCTTGCACAAAAAGAAGACGCAGAGCGCCAAGCAAGAAAAAAGGTGATGAGATAAGAAGTCATTACTATATATTTTTGAATTATGTACAACATAAGCAAGTATATACAACGAAAACCAACCCCCAAAAAAAACAAGTGAGCTAGACAATAAGACAGACTAGATATGTAAGGTTATAAATAAATTAAACTACAGGTAGAAGGCAGAAAAAAACAGCAACAACAATAAATAAATAGGTAAATAAATAAATTATAGAGTCAATTCATCTGCTTAGAATTTCAGAGTCGAGTCTTTAATTAAATAAAGATCCTTTGCTAACTGAATCTGATGCACTTTTTAACTCGGTGTCCATTGCTGAAAGTGGGTCCTTCCACTCAAACAGGATTATTTTCCAAACAAGGAGAGAACAGAAAGCACAATTTAAATGAGCCACCCCAAAGAGTGCACACAGTGGGAATGGTTCCAAGGCTTTTTCACACATCTTTTAGAGTATCAAAGATGGATTTCCGAAAACTTTTGTAGTTTCAGAAATTTCCAAAAATTTGTGACAGAAAAGCCAGCGCCTGTCTGCGTCGGTCACGTGGGATCCCCCTCTTGCACAGTCTCGCTTCAGACTGAGGCTGATTTACAAATTTGAACTGAAATGCATGTTTAAGACATATTGAGGATGAAAAGATTTATTTATTATTTTATTTTATATTTATTTGTTATGTTAAAACACATCAGGGATTTGTTTGTTTCTTCCTCCCAGTGATCAGATTACTATATCACACACACCTATATATTATCTTTCATTATCAAAATCAATAATACCAAAAGTTGTGTTTTATTTAAGAGAGTGAATGTTCTCAGAAAGCCTTCTGTGACAGCGTTAATGAGAACTGTGTTTTTTTCCAGCGACTTGAGGAGATCATGCGGAGAACCAGAAGGACAGATTCTCCAGATACGGTGAGATTTACTGTTCAGCTTTTAAAAAGTACATCACCCCGGGGCTCATATGACGCACATCAGGCATCAACTAATAACTAACCAACTCCACTTCTAAAAGCCACACAGCCTGTCCTCGACTAAATTAGTTAATCCTTTTCAACACAGAAGTCTGTACCAGCGAGGATCATGCCAAAGGAAGCCCAACCAAAGGAAAACACAGAGCCTGTGCACAATGGCACCATAGAGGATGCTGTCAAGCTGCCAGTGGGAACTAAGTCCTCACAGCTGGGGCTGAAGAATGAGGAGGACATGGTGCCTGTTGTGGCCTTCAAAGAACGCAGGTCTCTCAGAACGCTCACAGGCCTGGAGGAAATCCAGACCCACCAACGAGCAGGTGAGACACAGCAGCATGACTCGCCCTCAGGGTGGGAAATAGACACCAACAAACAGGCAGATTCTGGCAACGATTGGCGCCAGCTAGTGAGTTCATAGAAGTCAAGCATCTAGAAACTCACGGACATGCTTCATCATTAACTGTGTTTGCTCCTAGCTGTAAATAGCCGTGACAGTGTCCACAGACCACACAATCAGTATCATTAATACATTTTGAAATGTAACACTGCCTCACAGTTGTAGTGAGCTGCTCTGAAACATTTCACTTGATATCTTCTTTTTCTTGTCTCCCTGTTGTGCATTTTCTTTAGAGGTCATCTGAACACCTTCAAAGTGGGCAAAGACTTTGATGGAGAGCAGTGATTTCTCTGCAAAAGATGGGAATTCCTGCAGTACAGCCAGTTTGCTGCCCATCCTCAGCACCTTGAACGAGCATGTAAAATCCCAGCCTTGCCTCACTGAGGTCGTCTGCATTTGGTCACTTCTCTGTGTGTAACCAGTGGCACATGTATTGGGCAAGTTAGATATTAATTTCTTCAGTACAACAGGTTTCTGAAGTAATAATGACTATCCAAAAAAAAACTGTAGATGTAGACAGTGGTAATGATAGCTTGCTGGCAATTGCAGTTTATATCAGTTATGGACAGTGATGCCTCTGTGAAATACTAGGAATAGCCATCCAAACAGTCACATATGTTAGCCATATGCTTTTTGCTTATTCCTGATATTTCTTGCTACCTAAGCACTTTTTCCTTCCTCAGTTTTGTCACTGTGGAATTAGATTGGCTCAAGTCGCTGTTTTGTGCAACACAAGAGTTTAGGGTGTTAGTGAAAGTTCATTTTCTATATCAATTCCTATCTTACCCTTTGATTTTGTGAAGTATAGCAATCACATATTTCAAAGCTGCTAAGGAACTTAGTTTTCCAAAGACTTTGCTTCAGTTTTGTGAGTGCTGTTTTAGAAAATACGATGCACAAAGCGTTTATTGCACTGCCAGTTGCTTTGTTTGATATTGCGCAATCACTTTACAAAGCAGACTTTGAGACGTAGAGGTTAAGTGAGTTTATTATAATAAAAGCGTATAAAAACAAATGTATCTGAACATCAATATTTGATCTTATAATTTAAGTATTGCTCACAACTATCACTTGTTAACCTGTTGAGGAGTTAAGATATGCCATATTTGATTAAAGTTGATACTATGCTGTGTCTCTGCCTTGTTTTTCAGGTGACATGTTGACTGTACTTAACATGAAAAAAGTAAAGAAGTAAAAACACATTAAAACACCAAAGGTGATTATAAAAAAAAAGCTCTTTGTCCATACAGTGTATGGATGTAAACGCCTCATACAGTCAGAGAAAGTCAAGGGTCAACAGAGGATGGAGAAAGAGGCTGAATCATTTGCAGCAGACGTCTGGTTTCCTCTGTCTGCACATGCACCGTCCTGAGCTGGACCTCCAGCTCACTGTTCGCCAGCAGAGAGGAAAAGTCTCCATCTGCAGAGGAAGACAGCACAGAGCAGGCTATGAGCTCTAGGCATCACAATAGATGACTATTTTAGATAAGCTTTGGATAATCTGCTCAAAATCAAGATAATCAAAATGGCTGAAGTACCTGCGGTTCCTACATAAATAAATGTACGACAAATACAAACCTTTCTTGAGGTTGAATATTGTAACTATGCCCAGCTGCTGGAATTTAACATCTTTCATTTTGAGAAAAACCAACAGGTACTCCGACATGGTCGTGTAGTGAGGTCTCAGCAACCTGATGACCTCCTCTAAGAGAACAGCGGCATGAAAACATGAAATTATTGTAAAAGAAAACACAACAAAAACTGATTATTTGATTTTTCTATCAGTAGGTAGTACTTTACTTGCACGTTATATTACCAGTCATTTCTAGTTTGCTCATGATGGCTGCACAGTTGTATGACAACAGAGGATTCTGTATTTGTCCAGACAGCTTCACCAGCCCTGAAACTTGTTCTGCTGTTATTGCTGCTGACAGGATAGACCTAAGTGTATCTGAAATAGAAAGGAAGTGTTCATGAAAGAGATCATAATAATTATTAAGTTGAAAGTAAGATATAATTAAAGGGATCAATGTTTATCACCCCAGGTCACTCACCCAAGGTTATCAGATGATGTAAGCATGATGTCACATGCAGCAAGGTCTCATCTAACAGGGCGGGAGACACAAGGGCCCAGAGGAGGCCTGGTAAACACAGATTTTCCATCACAGCCTAGATAACAAAGATGGGATTCAACATGACTTTATCAAGAGTTTATGCATCTCAGGCAGTGTGCAAACACAATCCATGTCTTTTTACTACAGACACGTGACATGAAATCATGAGTTGTAGCCTTGCGCGTACCTGCTGACCCATATGAGAGCTACACAGGTTAGTGATTATCACACAGCTGTGTGTGATTATAGCAGAGCTGGACCTGTGATGGTGAAGCAGCTGACCGATTTCATCCAAGAGTCCTTCACTCACGAGGAATTCCTTGAAACAAAGCAGAGAAATATCAACATTTGGAGGTCCTATATTGTAGAAAGAGAGATTTCCATGTCTTTTTTGCTTTAGAAAGCAGGTCTTTATAATCAAATTATTATGATGCTGCTTTGTGGGAAAACCTACATTGTTTGGTGGGTGTGCAGACAGCACAGACAGGAGTGTTACAGCTGGCTTAGCCCACACTGCGGTAGATGTTTTCAGGAGCGCCTTCAGAGGCAACACACAGTCCAGCTCCATCAGCTGCTCCTGAATTAGAACTGCACATAAAATTGATAAACAGTATCTGCTGTACCTATACGATGTCAATCTCAGGTGTATTATTGCCTGTAATTACCATTCTTTGAGAGTGTTTGTAGGCATCTGCATGCTTGAGCTGAATTCTAAAAATGGAAGAAAAAAGATTTTTTATCAAACATTGTTTCCCTAAAAATTCAGTTATCGCTCCATTTAAGATCACAGTTACCTTTTGAACAGAGGAAGACATGAGAGTCAAAAGAGACTTCAACAAATAATGACCCCCAATGCTGAGCAGCTTCGGGTGATGCTCCTGGATAGCGGCGATGTTGCACAGAGCAGTGCAGCTGCAAAACTGAACCTCTGAATCAGAGGACTGCAGCAGAAGAACCAGGACGGGAATCGCTCCTGCTTGACACAAAATCCTTGTTGACCAATCTGGAAAAAAGAGGAGAAAGTTTAAGATTTCTGCAAAAGTAACACTGGAAAGAACTTGAACAACATGAAAAATACATGAACAGTGACATTAAAAAGGAAACTATCCCAACCTGACTGTGTGAGATGTAACAAAGCCCAGGTTGCGCTCTGCTGCACCTGTGGGTCGTAGGATTTTGCTAAAGCCAGCAGTGGTATGATTCCATCCACCATGAGAGCATCTCTGTTTGATTCTGTATAAAAAGAAAGAAAAATATCCACACAAGTCTACTGTAGCCCCATACACAGTAAGTAGCCAGGAGAATTCACATGCTGTACATTGTCTGTAGATCTATATGCTATATGCTATCTTTATGCTTCTCTCTCTCCTTTTTCACAACTTTTCACATTAATGCAAATTATTTACGCTGTAGTCAGTTATTCATTTTGAAAAGCTCTGCTGTCTGTACAGACCTGAGGAGGCCAGCAGGGCGACGCAGGCACAGGAGTGACACTGAGCAGTTGCATCACCAGACTGGAACAACTCCAGTATAGGCACCAGCATCCCCATTTCAATCACCAACTCTTTACACACTGAAATCAGATTTTATGGACAGTAATTATGACCATGTAATCCACATAGACTTTGAGACACGGTACTGATTTTACCTATTTATTAAGACTCGAATACAGAACAGAGGTTCAGGTTCATGAATTAAACAACTGTATTTTAAATACCTCATGACTCTCATCTCTTACCATTCTTCCTCACTAACAGATTGACCAAGGCAAGAGAGATAGTCTTCTGCACATCCAGATCGGTTGATAAGAGTAAAGCCATGACCGGCTCCATGAAGGCATCTGGTAATGGAGATTTCACTGTGACACACAAATACAGAGAGCAAAGTCGGTTCACCTTCATGCCTGTTCTTTTAGAATAGACAGTGATGATCCACAAGTTGAACACCATCTAAATTAGCTGTCAGTCTCACTAGCTAAAGCCAAATATTAGAAATAACCCTATCCTAGAAGAGATATGCCTCCTGTGTTCTGTTAATCTCAACCAACAGGAATCTATCAACCGCCTATAAGACAAATGTGTGCCCATCCATTTGCAGGCTGCAGGACATCACCTGTACTGAGCTTACTGCCACAATGATCTGACAAAGAAGAAAACTGAACTGTAAATTTTACAGTTCTCTATATGATCATGTTGTGGTATTTCAAAAATAAAATCATTGTATTTTTCCTTCATAATGACACTGAAACCCAAGCATGAGCGTTATCTGCCAACCCTGGGAAAAAAAAATATACAGTTGAAAATTTGCATGATACTGGTCGTACCCGTTAGAGAGCTTATCTTAGCAGCGAGTCATATGAGAAACCTGAGGTGCAAACAATGGTCTCATTTTATGTGCCACTGATCTGCAAGTCATCTCTATCATGCAGGCAACATAAAAATCTCTTTACTCACAGTGCTGACTGAGATGTAAATAATACATGGCTGCAGTCATTTGGAGATCAGTGTTTTCTGAGGCTGCAAGTCTGCTCAGTGTTTGCAGACCTTCCTGACTGAGCAGCTGGGTTTCATCATCTAAAGGAAGAGACAGATTATCAAAAAGGTGAAAATGTAGGAGCTTCTATGTCTAACATCAAACACTTTTAGCTTTATTCTAATTTCATACACATACTTTCTTTTTTTCTATGTATGAAAAAACAGAACGGAGTTTGTTTTCTGGAGGTAAAAAGACATTGTTGATGTAACCTTTATTTTGATAGTCTAAATTCGAATGGCAGATCTACATTATATCAATTGGGTAAACTTTTCTTACGTCAAAAAGACTCGTTATGTGCATAAAGGTGTGTTTCCCCTTCACAACAGCTCTATCTACAAACAAACAAAGATAATGCATGTCCACAGAGTTCCTACCATACAGGAGGTGTAAAGGGGGCAACTCTTGAGTCGTCCTCCTCAAGAAACTGCTCTCAGGTGGAATCCTAAAGCAGGTGCACCGAGAAAGCTCTCTGAAAACGTCCCTTATTTTCATTTCAAACTCTCTGCAGGCTTTACTTAAACGAGCAGCGAATTCTTTGAGAAGTCGCGAACAATTCTGACAAAGGCCAGAAGCCATGACTGCATCTTGAATGGCAAGGTTTGGCACCTGCCTGTCTCACAAAACACCTGCACATGGAAACGCCCACTGGGACATCACATGACTGTAATGTAAATTACACTTCTATTTGTTACAGCACATTACATCGTTCAGACATTTTACACGAGTCTCATTAAAAAAGCAAAAGTTTTCTAAATCATGTCTGCATAAAGTGTTAACCATGTTAGAAAGTAGTAGGTGGTTAAAATGGAGTTGAGTCTCATTTGTAATTATTTGTGGTGTATGCATCGTGCATGAAATATAATTCTGCAGTTGTTCACGTTGTATAATGAAAAATTCCAGCTTAGGGGATATTGCCTAATTTCATTGTCCTACTTGTGTTAAGTGCAAATATATGTTCACGTTTATGAGTTCGTTCTTGTTCAATGAAAATTGAATAAGGAAGTCGAGAGCCGGAAAACAGAGAAAGCTCCTCTTCAAAATAAAGGTTGCGCGTTTTGCTGGCTGCAGCGGTCAATTAAAGGAGAGCTAAGCTTTTCAAATTGCACTCGCATATGTCAAATACTTATACGTATAAATAAATAAATTATGAGATAACGTCTCGTTAGATTAAGTCAAAGGCCACTTAGGGTAAGTAGGATTTTCATTATTACTTCTTTTTATTTCCATGGTTACGACTGTGGGGTTATCCTGCGCTGCGTTTGTTACGTAATGACGATTCTCCTGGCCTCATTTTCATTGGTGAATTAGTTGTTTGTGTCTGTACGTCACGAACACGGTGGTGACGTTCCACCCTGGCGTTCACCCTTGCCGTGGTTGACTTGGAAACCGTTGCAGCGTTGTTGGTGAAGTTGGAGGACAGCACAATCACTGCAGGGTAGATACATGCAGTTGCTCCTAACTAACTCCTATCTCGCTTTTTAAATGCGTTTGTGTGGAGTTTGGCTTATTTTAGGGCTCAGACTGTTTGTTGAAGAATCTAAATCTCGCTTTACAAAACATAACAAGATAACAATGCCACTTAGCTAACGTTAGCATATAGCAAGCTAGCTATAGTAGCTAATGTTACCTAGCGGTCTCACAAAGGTTGCTTTTCCTGACATTTTTGCCTAAACATGGGCAGACACCACAGAAAACACGATGCGGTTTTGTTCCAATGTTTTCATCCAAATTAAACTTGCGTGAAACAGTTAACCCAGCCGAACTAAGCTAATTATGTGGACGCGTTACAAACCATTGTAGGATCATCCAGCAGAGATTTTGTTGTGCAACGTTGACGTTTTTTATTTTTAGGATGAAAGCCTTCCTCCCCGGATTAGTCTCCCTTTTGCACTCAGAATGAGAGACATTACAGTGCCTGAGGATGCCAGTAGGTGAGTTTAATTATTTCCCTTCACACAGCAGTGCTAGAAATACATGTATACTTACTTAGGTAAAACTTGTAATGCCGCAGTGTTATAATGCTCTACTACAAGTGAAAGTATTATCATATTTTACTTTTTCATTATGTTTTGTATGGATGTAAATAAATGACATGAGGTAAAAAGCACAATATTTCAATTTGGAATGTGGTGGAGCTGAAGTAAAATGGCAATACTACGGAAAAGCACAACTACCTCAAAACAGTACTCAGAGAGTACAGTAAATGTGCCCTTCACCACACCAACACACACTGCTTTTCCATGTAGTGATCTCAATATAGCCAGGCCAAGCCCACTTTCATTATTACTGATAAAGTAACCTTTTTACAGGTGAGAGAGAAGACCGGGCAAAGACCCGGGAAAGATTCAATGAAGTGTTCAAGAAATATACTGAAACAGAGAAGAAAAAGTTGAAGAAAAACACTGAAACTCAGGAGACCGTTGCGGTATGTGTTCTAATATGTTCAATTCTACTTTCAATGGTGGAAAACATAACACCAGATTTCCAAGATCTGATAATTCAGTGTTGAAATGCTTAGAAGAAATGAACGGCAATTGCAGAACATGTCTTAAAACCAGCTAGATTCAATACATATTATGATCACCTCCTTCCTCTAAATATACTGAGGGTGATGCAAACCAATTTGAATGACTGAAATTTCATTAAAGGGGAAGAGAACAACATATATACTGACATTTCTCTGCTCTGCGATTTCCTCTGTCTAGCTTCAGAATCTAAAAAAGAATCTGAACCTCGAGAAGGACACAGAAGATGCTGAGACCATCCTCCAGAACACCTATCATCCTGAACAGGGCAGCCCTCGCTACACTAAGAACAAAAGGAGAGAGAAGGAAATAGCAGAAAAGGTTAATATCAACAACAGTAGAAACCAAGAGGAGATTCAAACATCAAAAGCCCAGAGGAAGAGTAAGAGGGAGCTTCCCTCCCTCCCCGTACCTGAGGACACCATAAGTTACATCCAGAAGGATGAAGACACTGCCAAGTCTGAGATTGCTTTTGAGCCAGATGATATTGGCGACGGGAAGGAACCAAAGCGAAAAATTAAGAAGGGGAAAAGCAAAGGCGATGAGAGCCAAGTAGAGGATGCAGAGGACAAGCTTCTGCATGAATACCAGCAGCAGATTGCACAGAAGGAAGAGAGGACTCCAAAGAAGACAAGAGTCAAGTCAGAAGAAGAGAGTGTTGTCTCCCAAAATGTTACGCTGAATAATGATGTTGGAAAGAAGAAAAAGAAGAAGCTAAAATCTGTAGTTACAGATTCAGATTATGGGTGCGTGTACCTTTAATATTTTATATGTAGATTTGTTGTGTTTTTACATTTAGAAGTATGGCTACAGGGTAGCAGTGTTTAGTAGATATTGAAGTATGATTTGATACTTTTTGCACCACTAGGGATCAAGATGAAGGTGCAGAACAGGATGCTGATGTGGAAAACGAAACAGAATCCAAGGGAAAGAAGAAAAAGAAGAAGAAAAAGCATGGTAACTGGATGTTAATTGTCAGAAAATCATTTACAAAGTTCCATCACTATATCAGTACAATATATGATATTGATGAATTTCATGTTTTTTATTTTCCTATTTTCAGTTGTCAAAGACGAGAGTGAAACTGAGGCAGAAGTATTACCGAAACCAACATTTGATGACAGCCTTGTGCTGGGAGTGTATGTTCACAGAACAGACCGCCTTAAAACAGACCTACTGATCTCACACCCAATGGTGAAGATCCATGTTATTGATGAAATCACTGGACAGTATGTGAAGAAAGAAGACTGGTGAGAATGGACACTCAGATCTCATGCATTTCAATTTAATGTAAAATTGTGTTTTCGCATTTGTATTTGCGCGATCCCAGTTGTGACTCTTTTGCCCATTACATTCATTCTTTGGATATATAATCATAACTTGAAACATTAGTACCAGTTGTGTTCTAGTAAAATCTAGATATGCAGTAAAGTTATTTTAAAGTCTCATTTCAATGTGAGCTTTGGGTTGATATAAAGTGTTTGAAATAACATACAATATACACTAATTATATAAAGTAATATTAAAGTTAACACTGTAAATGTATGGCTTCAGTTTTTTTTGTTTGCTCATAATGCACAAATATGTCTTTGTCTTATTTTCATAGCCATCGGCCAGTGTCCTCATTTTATGAACAAGAGAACGTTGACCACATTCTCCCCATCATGACTCAACCGTATGACTTCAAGAAGAACAAATCAATCATCCCTGAGTGGCAAGAGCAGATCATCTTCAATGAACGCTTTGGTTACTTTGTTGAACAAAATGATGAAAGCCCCAGAGTCATTCTTTTCTTTGAAGTAAGGGACATTCCATTTTGAAATATTTGGCTAATTTTAACGTAGCTTTCAATAATTGCTTTTCATTTAAATGTTTTGTAAAGATCCTGGACTTCATAACCATGGAAGAAGCCAGGGCCAACTCTGATGCTGACAAGCACGAACGAGGATTCAGAAAGATTGCATGGGCATTCCTCAAGGTACTGTATTTGGCCTCGGCACTTAGAAAAAATACCATTATGGCTTAATTGTAATTGTTTATTTTCAACCTTATTTTATATACCCCCCGTTTAGCTTGTTGGCACAAATGGTGTGCTGAACATCGACAGTAAACTTCGTCTCCAGCTCTTCTGTCCTCCACCTCGGTCAAAGAGACAAGCTAAGAAAATAGAGGTGGCTGAGTGGTGGAGGAAGTACCCGCGAAACAAATATACGTCCACGCTTTATGTTACAGTGAAAGGCATTAAACTCCCTGAGCATGTAAGTTAGTTTCTATTTTGTAGTTACTATTGACTATTTCTTTGTTTATCTTTATAATGTCTCACATTTCTACTACATATAATGTTTGACATGTTATTTATTAATTATACTGTAGATGCTGTTGTTTCAGATATTCTGATATAAAGTTGAAGTAAAGCCTCCAGTGGATTCAGTACAATGTTGTAGCTGAGATGGATTTTGTTCTGCAGGTGGACCCTAGTATCCGGTCCATGATGGCACTGCAGGAGGAGAGAGGCAGCACCTCCTACAGTGAACTGCAGAATGAGGTCACCAAGAGAAGCCTCACACAGCCTTTAGACAGCAAGCCGCCAGTCTTGAGATGGAGCAGGCTGCCTGGTCAGGTGGGTAGAGTTAACTGACCTCAAAAGAATATCTTTACTGATGCATTATTTGCATTACAACAGTCTCAGGCTATCATAGTTATAGAGGATAGTAAACCACTCTGATCAAGAATTACAAATCATTCTTGAAGACTATTTTAACCTGTATTCGTCACAAGATACATAAGATAGGGGTCATTACAGCAGCAGATTACTGGATAGTATTAGGTAAATTGGTTGTGTACCTCCCTTTGTCAGACTCCATCTATTGTATCTGGCACTTAGGTAGACTCAAACAACCTCAGATATATTTGCTCATGCTGTCTGACTGCTCAAACATGGTTGACTGCGCAAGCCTTATAGGAGATTTTCTGTTAAAGGTCTGTCGGATTCCTAACAAGCCCATGCTGGCATTTCGTGGCGGTCAGATGGGCTGTTTCACAGTGC